TGAGCCTGAGGGGCGGGGTCTGTGGGCGGAGACTAGACGCCTGCGGTGCTGGGCGCACGCGCAATTGGGTGGACGCCAGCGGCTGACCCACCAGCTCTCAGATCACAGCTGTGTGTATTCCATCCGAAACATGGCAAACCCGGTCTGGGGGAATTTTCTACAACAGAGCTCTGGCCGTTGAGAATGGAACCTAAACAGACGCGTCTCTGAGGAGTGTTTGAGGAAGCCAGCGTCTCTGAAAACGCGGCCCTGTTTCTGAGCCCAGCCGAAATGACTGGCCTGGTCGTCCTGTGTGTCCATCAGCCAGCGAGGAAACCTCTAGAAGCCCGCTGAGTCCGGCAGCGCCACAGTAGAAACCAGCTCCGTCAGAAAAGGCAGCGAAGCCGACCAGGCGAGGGCCCGGCGATAAAGTGGACTGCGCAGACCTAACAGGCCTCAGAAAGGCTTTATAACTAAAGTTAGCCCCCCTCCCCCTTTTTATTTTTCCTAGACAGGGTTTCTCTGTGTATCCCTGGCTCTGAGTGTCTGGAACTTCTGTGTGTCCTGGAACTTGCTTTGTACACAAGGCTGGCCTTGAACTCACAGAGTACCACCTGCCTCTGCCTCCCAATTGCTGGGATTAACGATTTTCACCACTATGCCCCGCTCCAAGTTTAAAGATGAATACATGCTGTACTGGCCTCCAGGCACTTGACCTCATGAGTGGTGAGGAAATAAAGAACAGACAGACACACAGAAAGAACTGATTTTGGGCGGCCTGGGCTCTCTGATGCAGAAACTCAGCATGTTTATTACAGAGGTGAACAGGGAGATGGGGCTACTGTATACAGCTGAACAGGGGGGCAGGATTTATGGTATACAGTTGGAGGGTACAGCTTCACATCTGTACCCATGCCTCCTTCAATGAGCTAATCTCTGCAGTCTCCATAGGGGAGTAGTCTTCAGTCCGCAGACATGGGGGCGGGGTGCTACGGTGGTAGACATTTTCTGCACACACAACAATATTCACACTTGAACAAGGCTGCATATCAAGACTATGTCGTTAATAGGTGAGACGTGTGTGCACTCACGAATGCCACTGTATTAGACTATGTTTAGACTGATTTTGATCAAAGGAGAATCACCACATAGTAACTTGAAATTTTATTTTATTTTATTTTTTTTCAAAATTGGCTTTTGGGGAATGTAATAGGATGTCATTATGTTTCAGGTGGCTTTTCCTCCCTTCCCTTAGCTCTCAGAATAATGACTCATGAGATTCTATTATTTTACAACTACCTAGGCCATATAGCCAGGCTCTTCTCTGATTAGCTCATAACTTAAAATAACCCATTTATTCTAATCTGCATTCTGCCACGTGGCTGGTTAACTGAGCTCAGGCACCGAGCATCTCTCTGCCTCAAATCTTGGCTGAATCTCCGGCGACTGGCTCTATCCCAGAATCCCTTCTGCCTGCAGGATGCCTCACCTGTTTGCTGCCTCAGCCATAGGCCATGGGTTTGTTGTTTTTTGTTTTTTTTTAATTGACAGGTGTTGGGTCCATACAATACACATGAGATTCATTCTACAGGTGAAACGTTTTTGTTTTGTTTTTTTTTTTAAGAAAATATTTCAAATGCTTATTTTATATTTCATTTTTCTGTATTTGATTTGTTTTCACACTTCCAAATATACACAAAATGGAAAGCATCATGTTGCTCTTTCCTCACACACCTGTGAGAGGCCGGCATTCACCCTCTATCTGCATCCTTCCTGGGCTGGAAGCTTGTTCCTATACAAGTCAGCTTCTCCAATTCCCAGCACCATCCACTGACAAGAGGTCTGTTGGGCATGGAAGCTTTTATAACTTTCTCTGTAACTTTTTCTGCTGCGCAGGGTAACTATGTACAGGCATTTTTAAAAATAAGACATCTTGTGAACTTTTTATGCATGAATTTTGCAACCAGTCTAAAAGCAGGCTGTTCCCAAAATAGGGTGAGAACAGAAAGGACACACCTGCCTACTCCCCAAAGGGGTACACCTGTGGCGTCCTGCCCTGCTAAGCAGAAGATAGCAGGGGAGGCCCTCAAGGCTGTGCCCCTTCACCCTACCTGTTAGGCAGAGATTTGTATTGTTCAAGGCCCTGCCCGGTTTCCACCCTTCTGGACATTAGCCAGACTCTAGCCCTGGCCACTGGGAGTTCGTCCTGAATCAACACTGTCCTGGACACAGGCAGACCTTTGCTGTTTTTGGCAGGTGAAAATTCTGTGTGCTTGTGAGCTTCGGGTTATTTTTCCAGATGTGATAGAGAGGGTGCCCAAGGTCTGACTGCCAGACTGTCAGGCCTGTATGGAAGCTGAGATTTAAGCTTAGAAGGGAATTAATTAGGCCCCCATCCACCCTAGAGCTACAGGGGCCCATGCCAGCACAGTCTCTATACCGACCCCTCAACCCCACCCCAGCCCCCAAGCCCTACCCGACAGGTTTGCTGGCTGGATTCCAGGAATAGACCGGGGAAAAAAGGCAGGCACCTGCCCCGTGAGCAGGAGAGCTCTGGGCTTCCACGAACACTGTGGTCTGTGTGGCAGCCTGGAGCTGCCGAGCACATGGGGGTGGGGCTTTATTCTTACTTTTTCATCTAGGCTTTTGCGGGGCCCTTTTGACTTTGGTGCCATCCGAGGAGAGATTGCAGTCTGGAAGGCTCTGCTAACTTGTGAGCCATGGGATGCACACCCAGTTCTCAGGTCTTAAACTGTGAGTGCCTTCTGTGTGCGACAGGTCTAGAGTGACTGCCAATACTCTTTATATACACTTTTTTCTTTTCTTTTTTTTTTTTTTTTACAAGTAATGCCAAAATGCACTTCCAACGCAGCCGTTCCTGTCAGCTGTTCCTTATCACCTGCTCAGACCAACCTGCAGGCCCAGACAAGCTTTGTGGGCAGCTGGGGTAAGTGATTCAGCCTCCCCTGCCACGCCACATGCTTCCTGCGAACATACATGGGGTAGGCTCTGCCAAGATGCAGCTGTATCTATGGTGACAGACACCAGGAAACCTACAAGGGAACTATCAGTTCAGCAGCACAGGTAACTGCCCCCCATCATTCCCAGGCCTAAGGCCACCCAGACACTTTCTTGATTAATCATTGATTGATTGGTGTGGGAGGAATCAGTCCACTCAAGTGGTGCTAGATGGATTAAAACACGTTGAAAGCCAGTCATGGTGAGGCCTACCTTTAATCCCAGCACTCAGGAGGCAGGGGCAGGCAGGTCCCTAAGTTTGGGACAGACTCCTCTACAGAGCTACTTCTAGGACAGCCAGAGCTACCCAGGGAAACTCTGCCCTCTGCCCAGCAAAAGGAAGTTGAGTGAGCCATAGAGAGCAGGGCAGTAAACTGCATTCCTCCCTGGTCTCTGCCTGGAGTTCCGGCCCTGCCATGACTCAAGGAGGGACTGGGCCTTGTGGGATGAAATAAACTCACCCTACCCAAGTTGCTTTTGGTTCACGGTATTTATCACAACTGTAGAAAACAAACCGGAGCAGATAGCTCCGCAACGAGCTCACTGTTTTTACAGAGGATTTGGATTCAGTTTTCAGCGCTCACTTGGTAACTCACAACCGTCTGTAATTCCAGTTGCAGGGAATCCCGTGTGTTCTTCTGGCCTTTCTGGGCACTGCAATGCACGTGGTATACATACATACATGCAAGCAAACATGTTTGTACATAAAATAAAGCCATGAAAATAAAGCCGGAAGGTGGTGGTGCTTGCCTTTAATCCCAGCACTCGGGAGGCAGAGGCAGGTGGATCTCTGTGAGTTCAAGGCCAGCCTGGTCTACAGAATGAGTTCCAGGACAGCCAGAGCTACACAAAGAAACTGTCTCAAAAAACCAAAAATAAATAAATAAAAATAAAAGTCACATGCTCACGTATGCTTGTATACGACCCTGTCACCAGGGAACACTAATATTATGGTGAGCTCTTGACTTCCTCTCAAAGGAAAAGTGGAGCAAAGGTGAGTTTGAGTTTGCTGAACTTAATGTCACACTGCTTTCACGAGGGGGTAATATCTCCCCCTAACAAGCTGTAGAGAATAAAGCTCCGAAGGCTGGGCATGGCCCACTCCTGTTCTTAGCACAGCAGAATGGGGCAGCAGAGACGAGCACAGCTCTTGGGGTGGCCTGATAGAAACTCGCTGCTGCGGACCTCTGAAGCCATTAGAAAAGGAAGGCAGAACCTCCAAACCCACTCAAAGGGACTCCCAGTTCCATCTGGCTGCACTCTCCCCTCCTTAGCCAGCCAATCCTGACAGGCCCGGACCCCGGGACCACGCCTCGGGTTGCTTGAAGGCTGCAGATCACAAATAAGAACACCCGTGCTGAGAGCCTCAGGTGAGAGAGGCACTGTTCCCCACCAGGGGAGGCCAGGTGCGGCTCCCACAGCTCAAGGCCATGTCTTAAATGGGGAAAGCAGGGTCTGTCTGTCCCATCCCGGCTCTCCCAGACACAAGGCGACCGCAGCCTGTGAACTGAAGTCCCCGGCAGGAGGCAGCATTTAAAGAGTGTGCCAGGCACACACAACACTCAGGGTGAAGGCCGCTTTACGCTTCTGCAGTCCCGCCCGGGAGACTGAGGCACGGGGCTCCAGGGCCCTCGGTGGGAGCAGGGCTGCGCCTGGGAGGGAGCACCGCGCCGGGTAGGAGCGGGAAGTCGGGCAGGCGGCGGCGGCGGGGTTTCCCGCCCCTGCCCGGCCCGCAGCCCCCGGCTGCCCTTATAAGGCTGCGGGAAGCCAGTCGGGGTCCCGGCTCCCGGGGCTCGCAGCCTCCTCTGCGGCGAGGAATGTGTGGAATCTCCCCGGTCCGCGGCCGCCCACCGCGGGGAGGACCGCGCCGGGCGCACCCGCGGGCCGCCAGGAGCGCGCGCCGGCCTCGGGGCCCGCCGTCCCGGTCCCCGCCGTGGGTCGCTCGAGCCTGCCTCGCCGCTGGGGGGAGCGCGGCCGTCGTGGGAGCGGCCGGGTGGCGGCGCCACCTCACCTGCCCCGGGCACCGGCGTCGGAGGAGGAGGAGGCCGGGGAGGAGCCCGCGGCGCCGGAGTCCAGCGCAAAGTGAAACTCCGGGAAGCCGCGCGCCCTCCGGCGGGGCCGCGTCCCGGCTCCCCTCGGCCAGCAGCGGCTATGGCTCTGAGCAAAGGGCTGCGGCTGCTGGCGCGGCTGGACCCCACGGGCCCGGGCAGCGTGCTGCTGGAGGCGCGGGGCCGTGATGACTGCCTGCTCTTCGAGGCCGGCGCGGTGGCCACGCTGGGTGAGTGCTCCCCACGCGGGCGGCGACGCTGAGGAGGGAGGGAATCAGCGAGGGCGAGCGCCTTCGAGGAGACCTGAGGACCGGCGGCGCCTGTTTCCCCCCCGACGGGGCGGGCCCGGGTGGATCGGGGACCGGACCCGCCGGGAGCGCTTGTTCGCGACAGTCCGTGGTGCGGGGGACGCCGGGGAGCTGGCACCCCTGGCTGGGCGAGGCGGGTCTCCTCGTGCGCGTCTGTTCTTGGAGAGCCAGCTGGCTCTGATCCCGCTCCTGATGCTCAGTACTGAAGCCTTGCGTGCTCTGGACACGCAGAGGACGTTGCCCTGAAGAGGGGTCTACCTGGTGCTCCCTCGCTGTGCACCTGTCGAATACACAAAAGGTGCCTTGCCTTGTCTGAAGGGATGGCACGTAGGCACAAAACACTCCAAGAAACGTCGATGGCACCCTTCACTGTCTCTTATAAATACTCAGTCAGAAGCATGAGTAGAACCTGGAAGCCAACATACTCCCTGGTGATTTTATCTTTATGCTGGGCTGTTAGTTGGCGGCAAGCCATTGTATTTCATAGACAGACTTCAGCAGTCTTGAGATTGGTTTTGTGCTGAGGACCGCAGGGACATAATCTTATGCAGCTTTTACAGTTTTGTCCCGTAAACTGGGGCCTAAAGAGGTGAAGACACTTGCTCCAGGCAACACAGTCTTGTGTGTGGCCATTTTGGTGATGTCATACAGTGTATGCCTTCCTGGTATGGACAGCTTCCGGATCCTTCGTTTTGTAATTGACATTTGCAAGAAGGTCTAGGCAGCATAAAGCTAGTGGTTAGACAGGATTGCTAGGATTTTAATGACGAACCTTGGAGGGCAGCCTTAAGACAGTGGGCGTCCAGTTGTCCATCCTCCTGGTATCCCTAGCTAGACAGGATCACTTATAATTTAGGAGGTAACAGATGCAGCAAGTACGCATTTGCAAGGTGCTTTGTGTCTCTAGTCCGTTTTCCACATTTGTATGCAATGACTCCAGCTACACCATGGATTTGTGTGTGTGTGTGTTTGTACGCAAATGTCTTAAAAGGAGCACATCGATTTCCGCTTCCTGGACCACGCCATTAATGTGTAGTTTATCTAGCTGGGTGTGGTGGAGTACAACCCAGGTTCTGGCTATTCGAGGTAGGAGGATCAGTGGGAAGATTGATTGAGCCCGGGAGTTTCATACCAGATGGGGCAATATAACCAGACCTCAAAACATGCAGGCAAATACAGATACAGAAAAAAGCAAATCGCCGGCTTGCTGTCAATCACTTGATTGGGGAAGCAGTATCTCCAGTATTCTGTGTCAAAAGTGGAGAGTCATGGAATAATTCACAGTATTCCAATTTGGGTTCTGTCCTGAAATGTCCAGGTTTGGTCATTTGTCGCAGCCTTGAAAGAAAACCATGGAAATTTCCATTCCACTTTAGATATCTACTTCATAACACATTTATCAGAACTCAGAAATTAATTTCATGATACAAAGCTACTGTGTCATCAAAGAGACTAAAACACCTTTCAGTTGGGCTCCAGCAATACTAAGGGACGTTCATATCCCATGAGAGTGGTTCGAAACCACTTGGAACAGGTGTCTTCCATCAGGCAATCAAGTTTGGCCCACAATGGATTTACATGATGGGTCATACAGCACTTTAGATTTTTACTTTAGAGGTTGTAATAAAAAGAATTGTCACATTCTCAATCCTCTCCACTGTTCTGTACTTCTATCTCTTCACCTCATCATTTGTTTTCAGTAGAGCAGTGGCTAAATTATTTTTTTTTTTTTTTGGGCTCAGTGTTTCTTGGTCAATGAAGTGAAACTTTTTACTTGTTTTTAAAGAAATGGTAGCATTTGCTGATAATGTCCTGAGAGGATTACAAGAGAGCCTTTGTTACGAGAGTTATTGCTTAGCACTTTTAAAACAACCCAAATGCTTCACTGTTGGATGGAATAACTGAAGTCTCCACCTGTCCCCAGGGCCAGCTAGCTGTGCTACTTTCTTTTCCTTGACCTTTCCCCCCATGGAATAGGACTGGAGGGGTGCCTCAGTGCTCAAGAATAAAAGCTGCTCTTCCAGAGGACTAGAGCCGGGTTCCCAGCAACTATGAGGCTGTCCAAAATGGGCTGTACCTCCTGTCCCTGGGGATCTGGTGCTCTTTTCTAGCCTCTGAGGTCAGCAAGCACAGGTGGTGTAAATGTGTATATTCAGGGAGAACACCCACATACAGAACATAAAAATGAATCTGTGTCTCATAGCCCAGGCTGGCCTAGAACTCTCGGAGAGCCACCTGCCCCTACCTCCCAAGAGTTGGAATGAAAGGAGTGTGCCACCACACTCATGTAATATTTTTAACTTTTTTTAAATTTTATGTTCGTTGGTGTTCTCCTACATTCATGTCTGTGCACCGCATGCGTGCAGTGCTTGAGGAAGCCGTTAGAGTGAGTTGGATCCCTGGAACGGGAGTTATGCATAGCTGTGGGTCACCATGTGGATGCTGAGAATCAAACCTGAGCCAACTCTCTGCCTCCCCTCACCCCAAATAAATAAGGAAGGAAGGAAGGAAGGAAGGAAAGAAGGAAGGAAGGAAGGAAGGTGCATGAGTGGTGGCGGCCGTGGGGGGGGGAGGCAGAGAGGCAATGCGAAGACAGCACATTTGTGGCATTCTAATCCTGATTCCTCACAGGCAAGGGCCGTGGCAGCCTGCTGTGTCTCTTGGGCAGTGGTTTCCTAGGCTGGGTGTTCCCACTGAGTCTAAATTTCGAGCCTAATGGAATACAGATTCCTGCCTTGTGGGGAATGGTCTTCCTTCCCTGGCCTCTGTGTTCTTCTAAATTCTGCCCAGACTTTTACTGGGCGTGATTGGCGGCTTCCATGAGGGAGCCAACAGCTATGCGTTCAACTCTCCCACACCGTGTGGGAGCGCCTCCCTAGCACATGTCCTACTGGAGGCGCCATCTTGAGAAGTACCTCGGATTCAGTGGCCGCGCACTGCCTCAGAGTTTCCAGGTAATTTGGAAAGACAGGGTCTTGGATTGGACACTGCATTTAAGGAATGCTGATGATGAATGATTGTTGAGGGAAGAAGTCTGTAAGCTTGAGGGAAGAAGTCTGTAAGCTGCCCTCACCTGTTCTAAACCATCCTCCTCTTCCAAGATGACCTTTGCTGATGGTCTTCACAGGAGACCATCTTGCCTGCTGGCAGGAGGCTTGTTGAAGGAGTAATTTCAAAGTCCTGTTTTTAAAGACTTGAGTGAAGAATCTTTTTTTCCTTTTTCTTTTCTTTTTTTATTTTTTATATTAATTACAGTTTATTTACTTTGTATCCCATCTGTTGCCACCTCCCTCATTCCCTCTCAATCCCACCCTTCCTCCCTCATCTCCTCCCTGCCCCTCTCTAAGTCCACTGATAGTGGAGGTCCTCCTCCCATTTTCCATCTGACTGTAGCTTATCAGGTCTCATCAGAACTGGCTGAAATGTCCTCCTCTGTGGCCTAGCAAGGCTGCTCCTCCCTCAGGGGTGGGGAGAGGTCAGAGAGCCCACCACTGAGTTCATGTCAGAGACAGTCTCTGTTCCCCTTACTAGAGGAGCCCACTTGGATGCTGAGCTGCCATGGGCTACATCTGAACAGGGATTCTAGGTTATATCCATACATGGTCCTTGGTTGGAGAATCAGTCTCAGAAAAGACCCCTGTGCCCAGATATATTTGGTCCTTGTGGTACTTCTGTCCTCTCCAGGTCTTACTAACTCCCCCTTCTTTCATATGATTCCCTGAACTCTGCCCAGGGTTTGGTTATGAGTCTCAGCATCTGCTTTGATACACTGCTAAGTAGAGTGTTTCAGAGGTCCTCTATGGTAGGCTCCTGTCCTGTTTCTTGTCTTCTCCTACTTCCAATGTCCATCTTTGTCATCATCAATGCCCATTTGTCTTTCTTAAGTGAGGGTTGATCATCCTACCCTGGGACATCCTTCTTGTTTATCTTCTTTAGGTGAACAGATTTTAGTATGTTTATCTATCTTATACATCTAGTATCCACTTATAAGTGAGTATATACCATGTGTGTCTTTCTGCATCCTCACTCAGGATGATCTTTTGTAGATCCCACCATTGGCCTCCAAGTTTCATGATTTCCTTGTTTTTTAATTGCTGTGTAGTATTCCATTGTGTAAATGTACCACAATTTCTGTATCCATTCCTCCGTTGAGGGACATCGGGGTTGTTTCCAGGTTCTGGCTATTACGAATAAAGCTGCTACAAACATGGTTGAACAAATGTTCTTGTTGTGTACTTGAGCATATTTTTGGATATATGCCTAGGAGTGGTATAGCTGGATCTTGAGGAAGCACTATTTTCTAATTGTCTGAGAAAGCAAGTGAAGAATATTTTATGTGGATCAGTGATAATAGATCTTTGTAGCATATAGATGTTCTGTCCTTGAGTGCTGGGTCACAGCACCTGCTGTCTTCTGTGTATGTCTCTTTTAGACTCAGGGTAGACTCCTTAAATACATTGGTCCTCGGTGGACTTCAGTGGCTTTCAGACTGAGTGCTGGCACATTAATAAAGCTCCTGGTTTTCTAAACAGTCCCCAGGAAGGGCAGCTGGGAAGCACCTGGGTTTGCTGACTGAAACTCCATCCCCTACTCCTCTAGCCTTGTCCCTGTTGATGGATGGGTCCAGGAGAGGCAGGGGAGGAGGCTTGAGAGGCTTAAATAGTTGGGGAATGCTCCTAAATTTCTTGGGTTTCCTAGGGAACGGTGGTGCTTGAACAGCTGGCTTCCTGACTAGCCTAGCTGCTGTGTTGATATAGACGCCATAGCCATGCTTGGTTTGAATTAGTAAGGAGGCCAGGAGCCCAGACAGGCTACTTTAGAACTGTTCAATTTCTCAGGCTCTGTAGCCAAAATTTCTAAGATCATCACAGAGACCATTAAGGGGCCATTGTATAGATTCTCCAGAACAGAGGTGGAAACAG